TTAGGGGCGTGTTTCGGTGGAGACTTTTCTTGAGGTGGTGGTGACCGTGAAGAAAACCCGCCTGGAGTACTTGTGTCCTCAGGCATCCATCAGATGCTTTCCCTCATCTCTCCTTTTCATTCTCCCTGCGGCCTGCACCGTAGATGTCACTAACCCTGTGCAGCCAAAATGACCTCCGAGGCCTCCCACTCTCTGGAGAGCTGGGCAAAGCTGGCTGACCCACCGGTCCCCCAGCCCCTGGGCCAGCCCCGAGACCCTGGTGACTTTCCAAAGGGCCCAGGTCCTCCGGCGCTCCTGGTCTCCTTGCCTCTGAGCACCTGCCTCCTCCAGGGCCCTTCCACTGCGTTCCGTGCGGATCCAGATGTGAAAGTCCACCCCCTCCCCTGACTCCCCCGGAAGCCACTTGTACAAGATATTCACGGTGCAGCGGGCCCCCCTGGAGCTCCTTCTGCAGGAGGAGGGGGTTTGCATCGCCCGGCGCCCCCGGCTCTCTGGCGAACGCCGGGCATGCCCTTCTCCTCAGGGGCTCGTTTCGGGAGTGTGCGTGCTCCCCATCTCGGTGGCCCTCGTCTTGTTCCTCTTTTCCCGTCCCTCCTCCTCGCTGTCTGCTGCCCCGGACTGAGCCTCGGGACCCCCAAATCGTCCTCTATCCAGTACTCGGATGAGCGACTCTTCCCAGACCTCCGGGTGCGCCGCAGAACACAGGGGGCCCGTGAACCATGGAGGGTCCCCTGCTGGAACAGGCCGGGTAGGCTGTAAGTAGCACAGAGATGAGTGGTGCAGCCCCCTGGAGCAGGTGTGCACTGGAGCGCAGTCAGAATGGGCTCCACCCCCAAAGCGATATGGGACGCTGGGTGTCCAGAGCAGCCCCGATTCGCTCTCACGTCCTGGACTGGGCTCAGGATGGGAGACGTTCCCCGGCCTTGAGGGGCGGGTGGCCTGCCGGGGCTTGGCGTTGGGGAGGCTCAGAGCTGACCGGACAGGAACGCACGGCCATTTGGAGCAGGGTGTGTGCCTCTCGTGGCCGGCACCTGCGTCCGCCTGGGAGCATGGGGTGGGGGACAGCGCGGCTCAGGTCGGGCGGGGCGGGGAACGCCAAGCTGAGGAGCCTCGCCTGTGTCCGCAGGTGGTGAAGCCGCACAGTGCCGAGACCTGCGTGTTCGTGGTGACTGGTTGGCATTCACCGAGTGTGGCTGGTGTCCCTGCTCTTCCAGGCGAGGTTCTAAGAACCTTGCAGGCGCGGACTCATGGAGCCCTCCGACAGCCCCGTGCGGTGCTGCGATTGTCCCCTTTGACAGAGGGGGAGACCGGGTGCACCGAGGGGAGGTAACGAGTTCACGCAGCTGCATTTCAAAGCCAGGCAGACACTGTGACTTACCCACACTGGGGGCTCGGTGAGGTGGCAGCATGTTCGGGGAGAAGGGAATGGGGGCTGGGGAGCTAGTCAGGGGCCGAAAGAAGCCCCAACAACGTCCGACTCAGGGTGCTGCCGGAAGGCGGGGGCACACTGAGGACCCTTTCTGAGGACCGGGGGGCTCTTCGAAGCTCTCGAGCACCGCAGGGGACCATGGTGAAGACAAAGCAATTCACGTTCTCTCTGTGCCCTTCTCCTTTGCCCTCCCTCCACCTCGCCCAGGGGAACAGGGAGGGGTGGGAGTATGTGTGTGGGGGGAGTGGGGGCGTCCACAGTGGCATCTGCTCTGGGTGGGAGGCCACCTACCGCCTCCCCGCTCTCTCCTCCAGGGGCTCTCCCAGGGAACAGGGTCCCTTCCTGTGCCCGAGGCTGAGGACTGGCCGCCTTCTGGGCAGTCCCAACCCTTGGCCCACGGGCCGCATGCAGCCCAGGAGGGCTATGAATTTGGCCCCAACACAAAATTGTTCATTTACTTAAAACAGTATGAGATTTTTTTGTGTGTGTGATTACATGTCACGATGTATTTAATGTGTGGCCCAAGACAGCTCTTCCGGTGTGGCCCAGAGACACCAAAAGTCTGGACACCCTTGCTCTGGGGGACGAGCGAAGCCGCAGGCATGGTAGAAGAGACACAGGTGGGCGGTGGGGCTGTGGGGAGGCAGCGCCCCCCCGTGCTGTGGGTGGGAGCCTGAACCAGCCACGCCTCTCAGGAGGGCCCGTCAGCAGCACAACCCCCCCCTCCCACACCCAGAATACTCGTGCTGGCGTGCTGAGCACACATGCCTGCGTGTGCCCACCCCCCCCCCACCACAAAACCCACTCACACAAGGGCACGAGGGAACATTGTCCCATGATCAGCACATTCGTGCTTAGACAGCTGAACATCAGAAATGACTCAGCCGCCTACGGCCGGGGGTGCAGCTAAATGAGCCGTGGGCGGCCAAGGGCCTGGCGCAGCCTCTGGAGGCCCCCGCTGCTGCGGGGGGCCTCTCTGCGCCGGTGTGCGTGACCCCGAAGAGGGTGACTGAGGCCAGTTCCTCAGATGCAGCCGAAGACAAAGGAACCAAGGCCCATTCAGCAAACTGGGGAGTGTGGCTGCCTCTGGGGGGGACCGCCAGGGGTGAGGGAGGGGGTCGCATGGCCGAGGAACTCGGGCTTTCCCTGGCCGGCCATGGTTTTGGAGAGAGGCAGCTGTATCTCTGTGGTGCCTAACCCTTAAAAGTTAACTTCAGAACCTGAATGGTAAAGAAGAGGCAGGACTCTGGAGATAGGAGGTTCGGGGTTGGAACCCTGGCTGTGTCGCTTGGGTGTTGGACTTTGGGCGCCTTGTGTTCAGGCTCCGTCGCTGGGGGTGTGGCCCTCCGCCTGGCAGGAGGTCGGGGCTGCGTTCACTCGGCCCCCAGCCCCCCCCCCCGACCCCCGCGGAGGGGCAGACTCGACGTCTGGGTTCAGGGAGGGGCTCCGAAATGTAAATGTCACTTGAAAGTGAGGGACGGGTTTATCTGGGAGTTGCACAGCCCAGACCTCACGCCAATCCTGGGCCCTGTTTCCCTGGGACGCCTGCCAGGCCCCCGGGGCACATGAGAGCCTCGGCACAGCCCCAGGGAGCCAGGGGTGTGGTCCGGCCCGGCCAGTGCTCGGCATGGTGGCACCTCGGGGGCGTGGGAAGCATGCCGTGCTATGTGACCCTGGCACCGCCATCGGCGATGACCTCCAGCCTAATGAATGAAGAGTCCCCAGGGCTGCTGGCGGGGTGGGGGGGGGGGCGGCCAGGGCCTCCTCCCAGCCACCCCGCAGCCCGCAGCCCGCAGGCGCCAGTGGCTGTTGAAGGCCCCTGAATCACCACCGCAACAATTGGGGTTCTGGTGGGGTTCTGGTGGGAGGGGTGCATCCTCGCTGTCATTTCCTGTGTGGACGACCTGGAAAGGGCTCCCGGGAAAGGACAGTAAAGGTGACAAACCTTCCTCCAAAGCTAGTCGTCCCCAGGACCAGGTGGCGGTGGCTCAGCGAACGTGAGCTGCCAGCCACTTAGCTGAGACGGGACCCCACACAGATCCCCTCGGTCCGGGCTGCCGGGCACCCCCCCCCCCGCCCCGCCCACGCTTCCACCCCGAGGTTAAACACAGCCGGGCTGTGCACACCAGGAACGGCCCCCTTTGGGAGCTCACGGCGGCCGTGGCCCACGTCCTCCCGCCTTCCACACGCTGCGCCTTGTCCTGCCCTTGGCGACTTTGACACTGGCCCCCGAGTCCCCGTCCTTCCCTGCTTCCCAGCTGATGTTCGGGTGCAAGCCCGGGTCTCCGGAGGGCGGCGGGAGCCTGGTCCCCGTGGGTCCCCAGCGCAGAGGGCGAGGTCCGCAGTGGAGTTGGGAGTAGGTCCTCACCAGATGCGGCCGTGGACCCTCCCCTGCGTGGGGCTGCTCACACTCTGCCCCCTGCCCCCCCAGTTCATTTTCTTCATTTCAGCCCCCTCTGGATGGAGACCTTGCAGAGCTCTCCCACTCGCCGCGACTCCTGGGGTGAGCCGCCTTGCCTAACGCCGCTCCTTGCTCCTCGAGGTGGCCCCTCTGCCGCCCCGTGCCCGTCCCCTCCTCCTCCCGCCGCCCCCTTGCTCCTCGGCAGGGCTGGCTTCGCTTCTCCTCCACGTCCCGCGGGTGCGGTCTGAACCTGTCGGGGCGGGAGTCTGGAACTGGACTTCCCAGGCCCCGGTCCTGGCTGGTTCCCTGTAAAGTGCTCCACGTCCCTTGCACCCTGGGTGATGCTTCAGGGCACCCAGGTCTGCCCGACACCATCCATGGGCCCAGCGCGCTGCTTCCCGGCTTCCCTGCTTCCCGGGCCGCCCTGCGCACGGCCTGTCCCTCCTCTGCTGAGCGGCGTTGAAACCCGGGCCGACCGGCTCCCACGGGCCTTCGCCGTGGCGGCGCACAGCCTCTCCGCCGCCTCCCACGCACACTCCTGACCGTGTGTCCTTTATGCCTCTTCCTCAAGGCCCTCCTCCCGCCCCAGGGGGCCCTGCTCACTGCCGACACTGCGCTCATCCCGCCACAACCCTGGCTCTGGTCAGCTCCCTCCCCACGGTTTCCAGACCCTTTCCTTGCTCCCTTTGGGGTTCAGCCCTTGCACAGACACTGCGGGTTCGCCTGGGCCCGATTTCTCCCCTGCACCTCCCCCACCTGCTCTCGACTGAGGACTCCATCTACCGACAGGGCTCCATTCCACAGGTGTCTTTCCCTCCCACCGAACAGAGGCGTCTCTGAGGCTGGCAACTCGGGAGACGTTCCCGTCCACAAACACTGACCGCGCACCCACCGCGCACCTGGCTCCCCGGGTGAGCCCCGCGCAGGCCCGATCCTTCCGACCAGCTCGTCCCTCGTTTCCGGCGGGGCGTTTTCAGATGAAACACAGTTTCCTGAGGATGCCTTCACTTTCCAGGGCAACTTCTGAGCTGGCCTTTACCCCGTAGACACTTTTTCATAGAAAAATTTTATCGTAATTCTTTTTCTAAATCCAGACACAGTGTCTGCTGACCCTTGGGGAGTGTTTCCTCACCAGGAAGTTAAAAATAAAACTGCACGGCAGCATCGGTTTTGCATCTTTATTGGCGTATCGGGGTAACAGGAGCCGTGGATTTGGGGGCCGCCACCGAGGGTCCTCCTCCAGGCGGCCCGTGCCCGGCTTCCGCGGCCAGCACAGGCGGCACCAGGGGGCCTCCGGAAGGGCAGGGCAGCACGGAGACAGGCCCGAAGGAGGCCCCTGGCGTGATGAGCGGTGCACCGCGGGCACCTGGACCGCAGCCCCCACCAGCCGGGTCTAGGAGCAGCCAGACCAGCCTTACGCCTCCCACCGCTTGGCCGAGACTTAGAGACCCACCCGCTTTGGACTCTTGGCAGGACTTCCAAGGGGGAGAGGCAGCCAAGAGACTGAAGAGCTGCCACCCTCAGGGAAAGTCATGCCTTCAGGTGCATTGGCAGGCAAGCTGCATAAAACTCCTACTGTGTGCCACATGGTCTTCTAGGGCTGGACGTAAAGGGGTCAGCAGACCCAGGCAGGGCCCATGACCTCCTGAGTGGACGGGCCAGGAAGTCACCGACACTGTGCGTTACGACCACGCCGACCACTCCTGAAGACAGTTCAGGGCCTACTGGGGAGGGCTGGGGAAGGCTTCCCCAGAAGTGCTTTTTCGGCGGAGATGTTGCGGCTGAAAGGGCAGGAAGAGTGTTTCAAGTTGTGCGAACAGCGCCTGGCCCGGCAGGTGGACCGAGCGGCGGCCGTGCGAGAGACGGTTTCCTCCGCGTGAGCCGCAGCCGGGCCTGCCTTGGCGCCGGCTGTGGGCGGGGCTGGGGCGGGAGGAAGGAGAGCGAGGAGCTCCCAGGGCTGCCGGGAGGCTGTTCCGACGGCCCTGAGAGCGGGGGCAGCAGTGGGACCGGGCGGTGACAGGCCGGGGGGAGGGGATGCCGGGACTGACCCGCAGTCTTTGAAGTCTGAGCCAGGGAACCCCGGGGGAGGAGCAGGTGTGAGGAGAGGGTCAAGGGCAGTGGAGACGCCCAGGTGAAGGTGATGTGGGGGCAGCTCCCAGAGGGCTCCGGGCTCCCGGGACAGGTCTGTGAGCAGTCTGCTAGGAAATAAGTCTCTGGGTCAGTTCAGGTTCAAGGGTGTAAATGAGGCCACAGAGGGAGAGAAATTGCCGTGGGGAGGCTCGGGGAGCAGCCACCCTAATGGCCAGGAGAGGACAAGTGGGCAAGGAGGGGACACCTGGGGGCGTTCTTGGAACGAGGGGAAGAGTGGCTCTGGGAGGGGCAGTGGTCAGTGAGGAGAGTCCGGGGACACCCTCACCTCTCTGGGGCTGTCACCGCCCACCTCCTTGGGTGCCTTCAACACCCAGTGAATAGGACAGGGGAGCAGAGATGCCCAGAGGGTCCCGCCCCGCTCAAGGTCATGCATCCCAGCGGAGGGTGCTGCAGGGTCAGCTGCCCCGCTCACCTCTGTTGCGCCCCCCACCTCCGCCCCTCCCCCTCTGACACCCCGCACGCCTTCCCCCGAGAGCCCCCTCGTGCTGTGGTGTGAGGGCCCCCAGGCTCTGCTCTGAGCCCCGCAGGGTGGGCTCCGTCGAGGAAACACTCCGACCTCCCTCCCGAGAGGCGGTGTGGTGTCGCGTCAAGCACAGGGGCTTGAGGCCGGGCTTTGCGCCCATCGTCCTGTCTGTCTGTTCGTTCACGCGTCCCTTCGACGGCCGTTGCTCCAGGGCCCCCTGTGCGCCAGGTGCATGTCCCAGCTGAGCGGCCTTGGGCGGGCCCCTGCTGCTCTGAGCCTCAGTTTCCACCTCTGCAAGGTAGGGGGGCGGCGACCCTGGTCGCAGGCGGTGAGGGTTACGGGAGCCCGTGCAGGTGAGGTGCGTCACTCACAGCGGGAGCCTCGAAGACTGGTCTCCTCCTCTCCTTCCCTCCATCCTGCAGAGCCCACGGGGAGCGAGAGGCCAGCACTTTGGGCAACGCCCTCTGCTGTGCTCAGAGGGCACAGGCACCTCCACGCACACACGTGCACACACGTGTGCACACGCCCTGCATGTCCCCCGTCTCTGCTCAGAGCTCAGGGCCAGCACCAGCATGAGCGCGGGACCTGGAGGAGCCCCAAACACCTCTCTGAGGAGGCTGAGTGCAGACAGGCTGCTCCGCCCAGGCCCGAGGGGCCCAGCAGCCCCCACCGTGCGCTCCGGGAGTCCCCGGACCCAGGCTGGGGTGCATCCCAGGTGGCTTTGCAGGCTGCTGGCCCCTTCGTGGCTCCAGGAGTTACATCTTGGTGACCGGGGAGCCGTATCATCAGTGTCCTGGGGCCGGGTCTAGACAGGCCGGGAGGGCGGCGTCCTCCTCACCGCTTCCTCGGGTGGTGTCCGCAGCGGCTGCTCCTCCGAGGGGCCTCCCTCGTGCCTGGAGGAACCGGAGGCCCCACAGGCTCTTGCAGCAGCTCAGAAGGTTGCTGGAGCACACGGTGCAGGGCAGCTTGGGCTTCCTGAGGAGACACAAGCACAGGTCAGGGCTGAGGTGACCACTAGTGGGGCCAGTGAGTGGGGCCAGTGGGGCCAGGGCCCAGCCGCTGGCCTCTGCTTTTCCTAAGCCAGGCCCCAGGAAGGGGGCCAACCTCCCATGTTCCCACAGTGGGAATTCTTCCCGCAGCCCACAAAGGGGGTCATTCCGGAGACCTGGGGACCTGCTTTCAAATCCCAAGTCTGCTTCTAACTTGCTGTGTGCCGTTGGTCAAGTGACTTAACCCCTCTGAGCCTAAACGGAGGCATACAAGGTTGACTGTCTTTAAGAGATAATCTTTTGTACATATATATCTTTATACCTATTCTTTAACTGCTTTTCCAATTCTTGAAAAGACTAAGTGTTCTAACGTCTGGCTCATAGTAGGACCCCAGTTAGTGCTTGCCATTTTTGAATTTCAATGAAATGATTCCCGAGCACCTACAGCACGCTGGGCACGAATTGGAAGTGGGGAGGAGTCGACACAAACATTCATTCAGGCCCTTGCGTCGAAATCCGCTGTGAACAACTCTGTCTCTCCACGAGAGTGTGGGCTCCCAAAGGCAAGGCACTCGTCTTCCGAACTCCTGCTGTGTGGCCGGCACTTAGTAGGTCCTCAATTAAGGTCAACCTGATCGAAGGAGAAGGTACTGAAGGTGCACAAGCCAAACGCTCGGTAGGATGGTTTTTTTTCCCACGAAGTATTTGACGTGCATTTTCAGGCAGCGGAGGATTTCCCTCACTTCGGGGCGTACAAAGCTCCTTCGCCCTGTTCCTGCTCAGGTGTGGGTGGCCGGCCCGCTTTCCCTCCAGCTACGTCCACCGAGATTCCTTCCTCGTCTGTGCTGTGAGCCCTACGATGTCGGAGGGAAAGGCTCGGCGAAAGCTCCCGTGTTTGGGGGCCTAGCCCCTGCCTCTCCCTTTGTGGCGAGGGCAGGGCGCAGGCTGAGAGCTGTGTTCCGGCAACCGGATCCGGACGAACTGAGGGCATTATTTTGTGTGATCGTAGCCCATGTTCACGAGAACTCCTGTTTAAGTCATCCTGCATTTTTATTTCCCTTTATGGTGACAATATAAAGGCTTCTTATAAATGTCTTTCAGTGAAAACAGAGGGCTGGTGCAGACGTTTACGTACGGATATAACGCAGGTCAGGGAGCACGCTGAGCTGGACGGGAGAGGGTTTACACGCGCCTCCGGTGTGGGGAGGGCCGCCACAGTGCCCGGCCCGGCCCAGCTCGCCCTGGGCCCAGACGCAGAGATGCTGGGCACCACCTGGCATCCCCAGAGCTGCTGTCAGGCGGACCTGCAGCTCCGGGGCAAGGCGAGATCCAGCCTCGGCTCTAAGGCCGTGAGTGCTGCCCCGTTTCTCCCTTCCCCACGTAGGCTGGAGACGTGGCTTTCCCCATCCGTCCCCTGGTGCTGAGACCCCTCCTGGTGCCTCTGGCTGTCCCATGAGGCTCCCTGTGGCTCACCTCCAGCCACTGTCTCTTAAGCCACCAAGGGAGTCAAACTCCCTATTTCTTCCCCTTCCCAGGTGGAGAGAGGAAGAACGTCCCCGCAGGGTCCCTCAGATGGGAGCTGCAGGTTTGGGCGCCTGACTTCGCAAGGGCTTGCCCCCTGGGACACGGCCGGGGCCCACGCCCCCCGGAACGCTGGGGGCCGCAGCCCTCCCTGGGGCTCGGCCGGGCCCTCCCTCCCCCGAACACCCGGCCTCGCCCTGACCACAAGGTCGTCCTCCTGGCGCTCCAGGGGCTGGCGTCGCTCTCCGTCTTGGCAGTGCACATATTTGACCAGGCAGGCGGGGATCTGCCCTTGCATTAGCAGTCCAGACGGAGCCCGGGGCGCCGATAAGGTGACTTTCACCGAGTGAGTGGAATTACCAAAGACGGTTCACGGTGTCTGGGTTTTCCCTTGTGTGGGGCGTAAAGTGGACCAGTGTTCCTACCACTCTCAATCTCCGCCCCATCTTTAACAGTGCTACCCTTTCACTCTTCATTATCGTTCGTGAGGTTAATGATTCATGTAGTCCAGTCAATCTTACACATTTCTGAAGCCAGTTTACTTGGTACATACAAGTTTAGAATTGTTTCCTTTCTGGAGAGCTGAACCTTTAAGAAGATGACCATCTTTACCCTGAGTAACACTTCTTTGCTTATGGCCCACTTTGTTCAACATGAATGTAGCTACCCATGCTTCCTTTGGTTAGTATTTGCCTAGTTTATCTTATTTTTCCTTCCTTGTACTTTCAACATTTTTTGTTTCCTTATGTCCGTCTCTTGTAAAAAGACGTGTTTGGATATAACATATTCCAATCTGATGATCTTCCTTGTTTTCACTGTCCAGCCTGTTCCACGCGCATGTGCTGTGACCCGCCTCGCCGGCGGGGTCAGGGGCGGTCTCAGCGCTGCTCTGCGCGGGAGGCCTCCTGAACCCTGGTTTTCTCGTCGGGGAATGTCAGCGACAGCGACCTCACGGGACCGCAGGCAGTAAGGACCGCAGACGGTGAACGCCAGGCCCTTCCCGTTGCTCCACAGTGCGACAGTGCAAACGGTCACGCAGACGGTCACGCACGCAGAAGCGCTGTGGCATGTGCTCTTCCTGTTGCTTGAAAGTCCTCCTCCTCTCTCTCTCTCTGTCTCATCAGTAAAAACAAATTTGAAAATAAAAAGAAGCAAAGAGGACCCTGGGCGGGTCTGACAGGCAGGGACACCAGCCAATCGTAAGAGCAGGAGGTGGAGCTGTCCCTCGACGTTCGGCAGCAAGGGCCAGAGCAGGCCCGCCGGGGCACCTCCTGCAGCAGGGGCTCTGTAAACATCATTCATGTTTCACGTTCACGACAAATAAGGCAAGACTTTCTAGAAAAGGGCGCCCCCAGAACTCCCTTCTTATTTTTTCCCTGTGACAGGGGGACTCGAAGGGTCCTGGTGCTGCGGGCCCCTGAAAGGACTTTTGACAGGGGACCGCCCAGGGCACACAGCCCCGAGCACTGGCGGGTCGCCGCCCGGGGCCCTCCCGGGAGCCCGCGGAGGGAGGGGTGGCTGGGACTCTAACAGTCCTCAAGGCCCTCCCCGTAGTTGGCGTCCGTCCGAATGGTGCTGCCGCATGAGCTAACGAGCGGCAGGAACTGGCGTTTACTCCGTGCTCTCGGGCGAGGTCCTGAGCGCGGGCTTTGCCTCCTTGCCCCAGTTAACCTCGATGGCGCTCTAAGGCAGCCCTAGGGGTCCCATTACACAGACCAGGAAACTGAGGCTCCGGCGGGAGAGCGATGCCCCCGAGTCACTCGGTAGCAGAGCTCAGGTTTCAGCCCTCAGCCGGTGGCTCCCAAGGGCGCTCCCTCCCCACGGCGGCACGCCCCTCCCTGCACCAGGGCCGGGCTAAGTAAGGAGTCCGGCAGAATGGGACCACGCGCTAAGCCGAGAGCTGTGGAGCCGGTCAGGGCAGGGTCGCCAGTCTCACGAAATGCGTGGGTGTGAATGGGTGCACCGGTGAGTGTGTGAGTGTGTGGGCACGTGCACGTACAGGAGTGCGTGTGCGTGGGTGTGCATGGGTGTGCATGGGCAGGGCTGTGTGGCACAAAGCCGTTCTTCCCCCGGGGATCGGGGAGGCTCCGTGGAGCAGGTGGCATTTGAGTGGGGTCTGGGGCAGCGGGTGGAAAGTGAACAGGGGTGTTGGAGGGCAGTTTCCGCTCACTGGCAGGGGGGCAGCATGGCTGTGGGCTGTGGCCCGAGAACAGGAGGAGGAGCAGCCGAGGATGCAGAGGGAGGGGGAGCAGGCGGGGAGTCAGGAGCCCGAGGAGGGCGGGCCCCGTGGAAGCGCTGGGGAAGGCTCCGGAACAGGGGAAGGGCAGGAACCGTCTCAGCTTGTGGCCGGGACGGGCCCTTCTCCAAGATGTCACAACTCCGTGGGTCAGTGCGGTTGTACCTGCCTGTGGCAGTGAGTGCCCGGCCCGGGTGGGTGGGGGCGGGGGTGCGACCCTCTGGTGAGGAGTGTGCGCCCCCGCCAACTGAGAGAGCTGAGGCTCAGAGCACCGGCCGGCATCAGCAGGGGTGTCCTCTCTGAGGCCCTCAGGGGGCCGTCAGGTGGAGTACTTGCTGTGTGCTTGCCCGGCGAGGTGGCCGCTGCCACCCACGTCTTCACGGGCAAGGAACCAGCCCGTCATGAGGTTAGGCGACCTGACCAAGGTCGCCCAGCCAGGAGTTGGAGGGGCAGGGCTCCGCGCCGCCCCTGCTGGTTCCACAGCCTGCGAGCTCTGAGCCCGAAGAGCAGCTGGGGACAGCCGCTGTCTGCGGGGCTCCCGCCGCGTGCCCGGCCCGGCGCCGAGCGTTGCGTGAGCACTAGCTCGGTGAGCACACACCTGCTGTCCTCCTGATCCGCTGGGGAAGGGAACGGAGGCACAGAGCGGTTAGGAGACGCGCCCGGGTCCACATGGCCTGCGTTACACGTCGCAGCGCGTTGAGCTTGTCGCTTGACGACGCAGAGGCTGGGGGAGCCCTACTCCCACTCGGCAGCCCTCCCTGATGCTTCCCTGTCACCCCCTTCCTGCTGCTGAACTCCGTCTGCCGCACAATGAGATGACAATGACATGACGACCGTGCCGGTGAGCGGGGCACCGAGGCTGCACTTTGACGGCGCCCATGTGGTGCGTGTCCCGCAGTGGTCGTATTCTTGTCTCTAGCAGACGAGGGGGGCCGGGCCCAGAGAACTGCGGCCGCTCACCCAGGGACGCACAGCAAACACGTGCGGGGTCCTGACAGAGCCCAGCCGGGCTGGGCTGCACAGCCAGAGCCCCCCTGCCCGGCCCCACCCCCCACCCCACCCTCACGGGGAGTCGGGGTCCCGCTCAGATCTGCCCAGCGCTGGTGTGAACCTCCGGCAGCCTCCACTCGGGACCGGCTGGCTTGTCCACAACCCCCCCCTGCCCCCCCAGCTGGCTCCGCATCGCCGGGCCCTCTGTTTGATTCGGGACTTCTCTGTGCTCTCGCCTC